GTGTAAAAATGATTATTTATGGATTAATTTGTAAAGAAGTTGTAAACTATTTAAGTTCGTGTTATGAATTAAACAATTAGATATTTTTGTTCAATTATTTTCTATTGTAAGCTTCATGGCATTGGAAGAAGCAAAGAAAAATCAACAGAAGTTGAAAAAAATGGATTTTCTCGTAGGTTCATAGCTATGTATTCCTCCTACAAAAAATTAAAAAAATAAAACGCACACACATGCACACACAAATTAATAGGAAGACCCTTGTAGTTGATCAGGTGGATAGATTTCATGTTACATACAATTGTTTTCTATTGTAATCTTCATGGCATTGGAAGAAGCAAAGAATAATCAACAGAAATTAAAAAAAAAAGGATTTTGTTGTAGGTTCATAGCTATGCTTTGTTCCTACTACAAAAAATTAAAAAATTAAAAACACATACACGCACACACACACAAATAATGGGAAGACCTTAGCATTTGATCAGGTGGATAAATTCACGTTACATACAATTTTCTAGTGATAGATTGTATTATTGTGGCATTCAAAGTGATAAGATAGCTCTGGGGGTATACAAGTTTTGCAGCAATTGCATAAAATTAAGACATTTGGGGTCATTTTTATTTTTTATTTTATTTTGTTATTTTTTTAAATAAAGCATATTAGATTTTGAGTATTTTTAAAAGCAAGCTAATTTATTTTGTTTAATAAAAACTAAAAATATAAAAAGAAATGCAATAAATAACATATTTAAAAAAGTCAAAAACAAAAAAAAAACAAAGAAAAAAAAGTGATCCCAAACAAACCCCTAGTCCTTGTTTGGGATCAATTTTGTTTTTTGTTCTTATTTTTCTTTTTGTTTTTAAAAACATGTTGTTTAATATGTTTTTAACATGTTTTTATTTTTGTTTTTAAAAACAAATAAACATAGTTTTTGAGAAAACTCAAAATAACTTTTGGGTGTTTTGAGTATTTTATCAAACAACCATATATTAATCAAACATATCAAATTTGCTTTATTTCATATAAAAACTTGAACAAAATAAAATAAAAACAAAAAATAGAAATTAAAAAATAAAGTGATCCCAAATGGTCCCTTAGTGATTAACATTAGTGTGCAACAAGTGTACTTGGAGTGTCTCAAGTTAGGAGTTAACAGGGCTTGTCGGCTTGAAGTTTGGGAGCTTAAGGAGCTTGATTTGCAGAGGAGTCGTAAAGTAGTTATAAATTTGTTGTCTTATTATTGAGCCAATAGAGAGATTTGCCATGATTGAATCACTTATTTAGAAAAAAATAAGCAAAAAAAGTTAAGTTAATGATATTCAGTATAAAAGCAAATTATATATTTATTTATTTTTGGACAAAATCAGATTTAAAATTTTCAATAAATTTTCTTAGTTTTGATAAATCCAGGTTTAATTATAAACTTAATTAATTTTAAAATCACTCTATTTAAAAATTTAATGATATACAAAAGTTGTGATTGTAAAGGCATGTTGGTTGCTTTAGGTATGCAACCCATGTGCTTCTCAATTATTCACTTGGGAGAAAATAAAAAGAAAGTTTGATAATTAACGAATGACTTAGAAGGAAGAAAATTCATAATATACACTCTTACTAGATGCTTCTATATAAAAGCTAGATGTTTTGCATAATAAAGGGGTGCAGCTTAAGGTTGCATTTGAGGCGGCAATACGGCACAGGTAGTTTTGTCTGCATTCTAAAAAAGATGGAGCTTAAAACAGTGTCTTCCCACCAGACCTAGCTACTTATGGTGGCTGCTAGAAAGCTGCGGTCTAATATTTTTAAGAAAAAAAATTTATAATAGTCATCGCAGTTTTTTGAACAATAACTTTTTTTTCAACAGCTTCAATTTTTCAAACAGACCCTAAGATCAAACAGCCAAATCATATTTATTGTGTAGAGCAACATAACATTTTCTCCTTAATCCATCATAATCATTGATTTAATACAATAAGAGTGCTGCACCATGAATTGCAAATATAACTGTATTTTATCACAAATTTATCAGACCTTAAATTATATAAGCTTAATTCTTTTAGTAACCTTGGATTTAGTAGCAAATGTTAAAAACTCACCCTATTGTTGACTAACAGGAAGGGCAGGGGAGGCAAGACCGAAAACTAGCTATTGCTCGCCATATAAGGAAAAGAAGTGGCAGGTCTGAGTTCATTATAGCACAAAACTCCAAAGGAATATTTTACAGTTCAGACGAAAGCTTTTTGGGAACCATAACTTCAAATCTGATGGGATCGAAGTACCAAATATGGCACCAGGTTCATCCTTAACTCTTTACAACACTTCCAGCTGCACGAAACTCCTCTGCTTTGATGTGCAAGTTTTTAACTGAAATATTGGTTTCTGCAGGGAAGGAAGCTTGATTCCATGAAATCTCAATCTTATCTTATGGGCGTTGCTGAGTAAGAAAATTGCTTTTCAGTTGCAGCAAAATCTCATTTATTTGTTTAAAATTGGCTATAAATGTTTTGAAACAAAAATGGATTTTTAAGCTTTTCTTATTGTTGTGTTGGACGAAATTAGAAAGTCGTGTTTTTACGTGCGGAGTCCAATGAAATAAAACTATTTAGCGGTGACATAAAAAAAATAAAATAAAATCTGTCCGGTAACACAAGGGAATATTCTTCCTGTGTTATTTAAGTGTTATTATATTATGCATATGTTATTGTGTGTTATTCAAGTGTTATTGATGTGTTATTGTGTTATTATAATACCGAGAATATTCTCATAACAATAACACCTGAATAACACGGGGGGAATATTCACGTGTTACCGGGGTGATTTTTTTTTGTACCTCCATGTGGCGTGATTTCATTGGACTGAGTTACGTGCGGAGTCTTGATGCAATTTTTTGAGAGGCTTCTGTATTTTTTGTATTTCAACTGTCACAATAATTCTATTTTAGAAATTATTTTCTAATAGTTTTTTAAAATTTTTTGTGATGAAAATTGTCTTTTAAAAACGTGATGGCTATGAAAAAACTATTTTTTGACAAAAAAAAATTACAAATTACATCGTAGTTTTTTTTTAAAATATTTTTCTCTTCACAACTTTATATTCACTTTTACCGAAAACTATTTGTAGCCGTTGCAAATTAGACTGTTAAACCCTGCTAAAAGCATTTACTTTTGATGATGTCAATTTTACAAGTGAATACTAAATTATTAAAAAATTTTCCATAAATGATGATTTTATTATGTTTTGGCCGTCAAGATTTATTTATTTATTATAATTTTTTTTTACAATGAGGTGGGCATGGGCATTATCTTTACGTTGTGTTTGAGGAATTAGAGATGTAGTTTTTCATAATTAAATCATAATAAAATCTGCATCAGTAACAAGAAGAAGGAGGTGAATAGAACAATGAGATTGTTAGGAGATTGAGAGTGTTTGGGGTCACCTTAATGCTTGTACCTCCATAGGGCAAACTATATAACCAGCCAAGGTACCCCCATAGCACTTAAAATCAAAGAAAATTTACATACATATACACGGTTATTATGTATTTACATATTTAATGCCAAAAGTTTGCAATTTACACCTATAACACTTTGGTGCCATAAGCATATGCATGAAAATGTGTACTTCACTTTTAAAAATATAGTGATAATGATATTTTTGATGTGATGATAAAAATTTTAGTGATATGCATCTAAATATGAATGTTTAAGTGTAAGATATGTAAGTTACATATGAGGTATTTATGTAAATGCCCCTAAAATCAAATGCAACAGATTGAGGGAACATTCAAATGCAGTTCTGTTTGGTGAACCTATATAAAATTCATAATGTATTTTTGCACAATCATTGTTTTTCTTTGTATTATTTTTTTCACTAGTGTTTGAATTATGTTTATCCTAACCCCAACATAAACAACAAAATGAGTCGTATAATCCTCCCTTCATCAATTATATGATAATTGTTCACTTGTTCATGTTTATTTCACTAGTGTTTGAATTATGTTTATCCTAACCCCAACATAAACAACAAAATGAGTCGTATAATCCTCCCTTCATCAATTATATGATAATTGTTCACTTGTTCATGTTTATTTCACTAGTGTTTGAATTATGTTTATCCTAACCCCAACATAAACAACAAAATGAGTCGTATAATCCTCCCTTCATCAATTATATGATAATTGTTCACTTGTTCATGTTTATTTCACTAGTGTTTGAATTATGTTTATCCTAACCCCAACATAAACAACAAAATGAGTCGTATAATCCTCCCTTCATCAATTATATGATAATTGTTCACTTGTTCATGTTTATTTCACTAGTGTTTGAATTATGTTTATCCTAACCCCAACATAAACAACAAAATGAGTCATATAATCCTCCCTTCATCAATTATATGATAATTGTTCGCTTGTCATGTTTATAATGCAGGTTCGTACCCACCATCACCACACTTGCAGGCAATTTCAGAAGAATGAGAGTGTACATACCCAAACAAAATCCAATACAAACTAAAACCACAAACAAAACAACACAGGTTGGCTTCCCTCTACAGCTAGTTTGAAGATCAATGTAGACAAAAACAACTGTTGGTTTTCTAATGTTTCATGAGCATTTCAGATTCAAGAAATCATTGGTCTTCCTAAATACTGGGAAGAGAAGAAAAACATAGCTGACCAACTATTCTCCAGGGTGCCATACTATAACAATGTAAGTATCATTAGGATAGTTAGCTTATGTACTAATAATTTTATAATTTTATTTCGAGGCATTTAGATGCATACCACCCAATCCCATGTATTTACATATCTAACACCTCTAAACTTTACTTTTTATATCTATACCACCCAAATCATTCATATCACACAAAAATTATTACTATTTAAACTTATGAAAACTGAAATACACCTTTTCATGCATGTGCAATGTGCATTTATGTAAAAATTGAAGTTTTGATGTTAAATAAATACATATGAATTGAATGATTTGGGTGTAAATCTACATTTTATTTTATTTTACTACTCTTTTTCCCTTGTAGATAACTAAGAGATATGAACTAGACTTCAGACAGGGAGCTGGAAAAACAGGTTCTCAGATTCAAACATCAGCTAAGAACTTTCAGCTGACGATGGAGGTAAATTTTAACAAAACTACTTCTGAGAAATTTCTTTCTATTTGAATTGAAAGATGAAAGCAATAATGCCTGTTTTTTTAATGCACTGAAGCACGGAAGGCAGACAATTCTGCAACTAGGGAGAGTTGAAAAATCTAACTATATGATGGATTACAGGTAAATTGAAAGGGTTCGCCATTTCTCGTGTTTTAAAAGTGTTGAATGAGTTGCTATTAATGATTCGTATCTGATTTGCTTTTTTTGCAGATATCCCTTAACAGGTTATCAAGCCTTCTGCATATGTTTGGCATTAATAGACTCGAAGCTATGTTGTTCGGTTTAAATTTCCTTTGATATGTATGTTTATATTAGGTATGGTCATATATGAATTGTAATAAGGATTACAAGATATTACAAGTTATTGTCTTTCAAATTATTCTTCTAGCATTGTTGAATCTCGAGAAACTTTGTGTTGATTCGAGCCTGATTTTAGCCAAAATTGCATGAAGAGTAATAAAAAAATAAAAAAAAAAAAGACGACAGAATTGAATCCATCTTTGATTAGGAGATTTATTTTTGTCGAAAATGAAAAATGCATCATAGATTTCTAGCTCATAAAATGGAAAATTTTTAAAAAGCTGCTCAAAGTTGGAGAGCTGGCTACTACTTGTAACCAAGGATCTTATAAACAAGGCAGTGTTAATATTAGGAATACCTTCCTAATTTGAAAATATGCCACTAGGAATCCTTGCTTTTCTTACATCCTCACCTTTATCAATCCAAGTACACTTACTTACCTACACAATCCACTTATTCTCTCAACTCCACTGAAGTTAATGGTCTTAAATACTAAGCTTTACTCAAAAGTTTTTCATTAACAGTAGAGTTTCAAGGACTCATAAACAACACAGCTTTTTTTTAGAGGACGCATTATTATTAGAAATGTATGGAGAATTGTTCAAAATAGAGAGGTAAGTAAGAATTGTTCCAAATAGAATCCTTCAAAGTATATATTAATTGAGCATATTGCAGGATAGGGATGTAAACAAGCCCAAAACTAGCGTGCCCAGACTCAGCTCGTGTTCAGCTCGTTAAAAAGTATTACTGTTTGTGTTCGACATTTTTATATTTCAAACACAAAATATGTGTTCGTGTTCGGCGAGTTGAACATGAGCTGTTTGTGAAGAAAGTCTTTTTCACAACCCTGATAACACAACCATAGGATGTTAAGGGTTAGATCAAGATTAAATCTTATTGTTTATATTAAAATATAATTTAAATATAATTTAATATATTCTTATTCTATTTAATTAATTAATAATTTAATTGATTATAAATCTTTATAGCCTAGTAGTCTATTAAAGTTTTTAAAAAATGATACTCATAAATAAATAAATATATATATATATATATATATATATATTAAGAGGACACCAAATATCGATTCCCCCATATGGGTGGAA